GTCTAAAAACAAGACGCATCACATGTCTCAGCTAGACGTGCCAAGTGTCAACGGATGACCGATTTTAGACGCTCAAGCAAAATAAATGAAAAATAGACACTAGAAGTGTCTTATCGAAGTGTCTTGGTTTTTTAGAGTGTTCAAACCTTAAAAAACCATTTGTAAATTCAACAGGTAAAACTATTTTATTATTATTCACTATTTTTCTTCATTCTTAAATGTTAATATCTGACGATAAGATGGTCCGTAATAATGAACATCTTATCGTGGATTATTCTCACATTAGTGAACTCTACAATTGACTGAAGAGTTCAGTATTAAAAATATCGATCAATATTTTCACTATTATTGTTCTATGTAAAAGTTGACGTCATTGGTCACAAGAGCTTTTTAATCTAATGTGAGATTTAATCTTACAGAGTGTGAAGAGAAGAAAGACTTTGAACAGTTTAGTTTATTGACATTGTAAATCTCTTTTTACAATAATAAATCCCTAACATTAAAAAAGTTCACTTCCTTGCTCGTCAAAAGTGTTCAAGTTTTACGAGTATTTTTTGAATACGAGTTATGCAAGTAAATAAAACGCTGTAGATAATTGATCCGAAAAATGAGTATGCTTCAACATCCGGAAATTTCTAATAGGAATGGAGGTTTACTTTTCTTTTTTTTTCTAAATAAAAGTATGTAATTAATTCTTCTGTTCTTCATTTAAATCATTGAAGCGAAATTTGAATTGTTCTCGTTGCTTTATAACGAGTAATAAAAATGGGTTTTATTATTAGCAAATATAAAAAAATAAATAGTAGAACACAAAATAAAAGACTAATTGATTTCTCAAAGAGAATCGACAATAATCACTTGAGAGGATTCGATATCCAAGTGATGCTTTTTCAGCGGATGTAAATAATATTTTAAAAGTTTTTCAGCTGTAGTCATTTCGGATTATTAATAATTCATCACTGCCCGTGTTTATGCTAATAACTCAAAAAAAATCAATCTTCCGAGCTATGCCTTTATTCCAATTACGAACATTTTTCTACAAGGCGATTTTTTTTAAATATTTACATAAAAGTACATTTTGATATCATGCATTTTTTAATCATAGAATAATCATTTTTTTATTTATTAAAAGTTACCTGATCTCATTCAATTGAATGGAAAAAAATCAGTAAAATCGTGACAAAAAAAAACAGAAATCTAAATTATTTTCTCAGTAACTTAATATTTCATAAAAAAAACAACAACAATGACATCTGTTGATTTTAGTACAGTTCTAAATTTTTTTCCTTTTCTCACATCGGTCAACGGTTCTAACACATGTTGACCGGGGAGTGATAGAACGAACAGTTCGGTACTCTTAACCAACGTATATCGACAAGAAAGAAAGAATGAAAAGAAATCAAATGACAACTACGAGAAGAGAAAAAAACTCAGCGATTGAACTCGTGCTGAATCTCACACAGGTAAGATAAAAATAAAAAAATAAAAGGTACATATAAATGCTTTTCTATTATGACATCGATCCTGAAAGACAAAAGAAAGTTTGTTTCTCTCATTTAATCTCGATAACGGACAAGAAAAACTCCTACTAATGAGCATACGTGTTGAGATCATACTATGTTTTTTTCTTTCTCATTCAAAGCTTAAATTATTCGAGGTTATGACATAAGTTCATATTTCTTCTAAAAACCAATACATTTCTTTTTTTCTTTCCTTCTTATTTGCTTTATGCATACATGCATGTATATAAATATATACATATATATATATATATATATAAATTTTTTTTGTTCAGATCATTTATTCTTTATAATAGTACCTAACATGAATCGCTTGTTGGGCCACAAACGGCGAGCATCATTCGATGTTAATCAACCTCCGTCATCATTCAAAGTCTATTATTTAGGAAATGTAGCAACATCATTAACACGAGGAGATGGTTGTGCAGATCGTCCAGCAAAAATTCTTTGGGATATGCATGTTAAAAATCAAGGATGTTTAGGCAGAAAACTTCGTTTAACAGTGACAAATGGTGGTTTACAAGCGGATAGTTGTATAAAAGTCGGCGCGACAAATGAGATTACACTTTATTGTACAAATCGTATTGCATATCATCTTATTGCTAGTAAACTTAATCCAAAAATGTTCATTTGGGTTTATAGACATGTTAATGTTCGATCAGGCTTGACGACAGAGGTAAGATGAAAGTTGTAAATAAATATCCTTCAGAATTCTTCATTTTATCATTATTTAAAACAAATAAAAATATTCTATTGTATTTTTGTAGCTTCGCTGCCATGCATGTTTATGTTCAAGTGAAAGTGACGCTAAATCTCTTCTCGATTTACTGCATCATCAATTACAAGACTCTCTACGTGAATATGTACGTGAGAAATATCGTCGTCAAATCAGTCGATTATCCATCTTGTCATCCTTGAATTTACCGAATCTAACAATATCAGAAAAAACAGTAAATGAACCACCGAAACGTTTAGTAGCTCGAAGTCAAGCATCAAATTATCGACCATCATTAGCTCGATCAATGTCAAATATTGGTCTTGGCCGTATGGACGATATCGAAGAGAATGACGATGAACTCGCCAGTGAAGCAACAACAACAACAATGTCGACATCATCAACATCGTCGCTCGATTTAGTTGCATCAAAATTGACTGATTTAGACACAGACAAAAGAATGAAATTGTACGCACATGCGCTGTCCGATATTTTGTGAGAATAAATATATAGGAAAATATATATATATATAATTACATAAACATGAAAATATTGATAGCCTCATTATCTTCTTTCTTTGTGTTCTATATATTGCAACTTAATCAACACTATAACTACGTCAAACTATTCATTTGATCGACGAGAACAAACATTGAAACTGTGCGCATACAGTCGACATTTTCTCCTCATTGTACATATACATATATAAAACAGTGAAGGGTGATGAAATGAACTGAATGTTTTATGCATCTTCTTTTTTTCTTCTTCTTCCTCTTCTGCGTTTATTGAACTTTGTTCTGTGTGTGACAAACATCCCCTATTTGACTCTGAGTAGATAGGCGTGCGCGGATATGAACACACATACGTTTTTCTTCCCTCCTCATTTCTTTTTTTTTCTAATACCTCTAGTCTACGAGTGTAATGATTAAGAACATGATCTATGTTTTTTTCTTTGTTTTTTTTTTATATTATAGAAGAATAATAAAGTAATATGCAAGGCTCACATCGATATCCTGATGGATCTGAATACACAGGTAAAATAAAATGAAACTAAATTGATAAATCAGAAAATAATCAATTGAAATAATGAAAAATTCCGAAATAAATAACAGGTGAATGGAGCGAAGATGGTCAACGACATGGAATTGGCCAATTAGTATTTACTGATCAAGCTAAATATTGCGGTCGATTCGACAATGGCCTTTTCTCTGGATTCGGTTCAATATTTTATCCCGATGGATCCAAGTAATAAGTCTATCCTCAATGAAAAAGAAAAACAATGAAAATAACTTCATGTTCTTTTAGATATGAAGGAGAATTTTCTCAAGGTCGTTATCATGGTTTAGGAGTATTTACTCGTTGTGATGGAATGAAATACGAAGGACAATTACATGAAGGAAAAATTTTTGGTTTAGGCCTTTTGACATTTGCAGATGGTTCACATGGTTTACCGAGAAACGAAGGACATTTCGAAAATAATAAATTAGTACGACGTGAAAAATGCCCAGATATTATACGTAAAGCTATAGCCTGTGCTGAACGCGCAAAATCTCAACATATTTAAGTATATATTTTTTTCTTCGAACTGCTTTTTCTGTCGTGCAATAAATTTTCAAAAAAAAAATAATAAAATATCGATGTTTATATTGCTTACATACTAAGCTATTATTGTTGTCCTTGTTTTATAACAAAATATCACTCATGCGTAAAGTCTATGGAGGTGTACTACAGAAGTGTATATAAATTGTCTTGTGTCTAATGAAAAAACAAGTCATTTGAAATAAATTTTGCATAGCCATGCTATCCACTGAGCCATATTCGCGAAGAAAATCGTCCACTGATGAATTAGAAAAGTCATTGACACAATACCAAAGTAAAATTTTTGATAACGAACAACATAGTCGAAAACCAGTTAAGACATTGAATGGTAAACAAAATCAACACGAGAAATCTCGTGCTAAAAATCATAATAGAAGTATTTTAAAAAGACACAATCAAAATGAATTAGCTCATGGTGATTTTATTCAACGAGCCATCCGAGGTAAAATAACCTTTCTTTTTACTTTTCCCCTTTATACCCTGAACGCGAGGTCGTTTCTCATCGATTAATATTATATATGATTAGAAAATGAAGGGCAATCATTTTAAAAGAAACGTATCGTATAGTCATATACGATTATCTGAGATACAAAATGTTATATGTGGATCCTTCAAACTCTTCTAATCAATTTCTAGAGGGATTAGCAAGTGGAAAACAGCGAAAAACATCAAATACTTCAAGCACTAATAATTCGTGAGTAAAAAACAATAGAAAGAGATATGAACAATTCCATTGAAAAATTCATTTTTGTTAAGATATGACCTAAATGAAATATTCGAAGATGAAAATAATGATTGGTTTTTTGAAAAACTATTAGACAAATTCGAAAGTATTCGTGGAAAAACAATTCATGAATATGTGGAATCTGCGTAAGTGCATTTAAAATTTATTATTTAAATGAAAATAAATCTTTTTCTTTCTTATTCAATTAGATCCGATGATGTTAATAATAGCGTTACCTATGGCCCTGAACGTATTATTGAACGACGTTATTATATTAACAAAGCCGCATCATTATCCAAACGTAATCAGCTAACATCAACAACTGATTTAACCAAATATCGAGAAAAAACTCGACTAATATCAAGAGTATCATCACTAACAGCAGCAACGACATATTCTCGAGGTTCAACATCAACACCAGTGTTTCTTGAAAATCTTCATCAGCAATCGGATTTACTTCGACATGGAATAAATGACTTGCGCAATGATATCGAACAACTTCAAACATCCCAAGATCAATTTTTCCAACAAATGAAATCACAATTTCAATCGAATACAAATACTACGGCAACATCACAAAGCTTTGGTAGAGATTTTCAATGCTTGTTTTTCCTATTAATCTATCTTTATTCATCCTACAGTTCAGCCAGCTGTTTTATCTGGACAACTATTACCAGAAAACAAGCAATCACCCAATCGTACAGTTATCCCTTCGTCGAATAGTCAACGAGCTCGTTCAGTTTCAACTGCATCTGTAGCACCATCTGCAGCATCGTCTAGCGAATATTCTGATTTAACACTTAAAATTGCCAACAAAGCTAATGTTGCAGTAAGAAGATATGAAATCCATCAAAATTTTTATCTTCCATAAAAATGATTCATTTCTTTTTGCTTTGTTTTACTATAGCCGCTAGGTAAACCTGTTGTACCAGCACAGCCTATTTCTCAATTTATTGCAACGAAAAACTCAGCCATTTCGCCTACACCATTAGTAAAGGAGCGCCTCAATTCGAAAGCTTCATCAACTACGCCATCACTACGAATTTCAGAATTTATTGCAACAAAAAATGCATTCCTCGCACCATCACCACCACTAAATTCAGAAGTCACGCCAAAACCTGCATCAGTCACTCCATTTGTTCCACCAAAAAATCAATCCAATTCATTCGTATCGGATCAAAATTCTCGTAGCGATTCCAAATCTTCATCAACTGCACCGACTCCAACAAATACTAAAGTTATTGCACGAAAACCTTCCTCAACCGAATCAGAATCAGAATCATCAGTAGATATTCCCGCAGGGCCTGCCAACACAAAACCTACATCGATTTCACGAACACCACCAGTAAATTCAAACATAACTTCAAAATCTCCATCAATAGCTCCTACACTACCAGCCGTTCCATCTACTGCATCAAAAAGTCAAACGAATTTGCCAACATTATATCAAAATCCGTGCAATGATTCTGAATCTTCGTCAGTTGCATCAACTCCAACAAATACTAAAGTTGCTGCACGAAAACCTTCCTCAACTGAATCAGAATCATCAGTAACTATTCCTGCAGGACCTGCCAACACAAAACCTACATCGATTTCACGAACACCATCAGTAAATTCAAACATAACTTCAAAATCTCCATCAGTAATTTCTACATTACCAGCCGTTCCATCTGTTGCATCAAAAAATGAAACGAATTTGCCAACATCATATCAAAATCCGTGCAGTGTTTCTGGATCTTTGTCAGCTGCATCAACTCCAACTAATATCAAACTTGTTGCACGAAAAAGTTCCTCAACCGAATCAGAATCAGAATTATTAGCAGTTATTCCAACAGGACCTCTCAATACAAAGCCTCCATCGGCTCCGCGAACACCACTAGCGAATAATTCTTTTGTTTCAAAATCTCCATCAATAACAGCAGCACAACCACTAAATACTAACGTCACTGCTAGGTCTCCATCAATAGAACTAGCACCATCAATGACTCAATTTATTGCACCGAAAAATCGATCAACAGGATCTACTGGTTCAGCAGTTTTGCCCGTAGTAATTTCTTCGCCAATAGCTCCTTCATCAATACCATCGGCGCCTATACCAATATACGAAAATGAATTAGCATATCGTCATGCACTTTCACCTCGATCTCAAATTGTTGCATCATCGACACCAGTTCATGAGTCATCTGGTTCATCAGACGGATCAACTAGTCCGGAATTTGTTTCTTCTGTTCCTGCAAAAGCTCCTACAGTAATTATCTCATCACGTTAATAAAAATGCCGTATAGAATCTCTCTCTTGTCTTAGGTTCCTAGAACAACATTGCAAGATAATGAGCTTAAAGCTTTAGCTCATTATAGTTCGCAACTTGAATTATCCGGCTTTACACCATCGGTAAATCCTGTTATAGCTAATCCAAACTTTAGTACTACTTTTTGGGATTCCGTCGATCATTTTATTGCAAACAATAAAGCAACAAATTCCGTTACGAGACTACCACCAGTATCGCGACCCATTGATCGAAGTGGATACAGATGGAATAATAGCGTAAACAAAGTATTAGATAAATATAATCTTGAAATAAAACCCCAAGAAATTATTGAATCGAGTGCACCTCTTCTGATGCCACCTTTAGACAGTTTGCCGTAATTAATAAATATTTTTCTTTTTATTAGCATTCAAGTTTATTTTTCTTTTTCATTAAATAATAAATGAAATCTTTATTGAAATAAAAATTCGTGCCTTAAGTTCCGGAAATATTCAGCACTAAGCTCTTTAGAGCTCGGCGTTGATTCAGACCTGGGAAAAAAAGCAACAAACAGGTACAAGAGCTCATTACTACACCTACAACTTGACTTTACTGACTAGAACCAACACTTGCAGAAGTTAATTCTCATGCACTATGAATACTCAAGTTGCTGACCTATGTTTATTTCACCTCAAATACAAACGAATGTCATGAAGACTCAATTCAGAAAATTTCCACTATAAATTGACAAGGTGATTCTTCGAATAATAAATATTTTTCAATCGAAAATCAAGTTTACGTGTAAAATTCAATATGATAGAAAAGACTTATTCTTTTGAGCTGAACAGAATGAAAAAAAATGCGAAGACGGAGCTTTGAGAAAAAATTTATAAGACGGAAACAACGTAATAACTAATCCTTAGGGAAGGCACGTTTTTTTGGATACTATTATTCTTGACGAAACTTTCTTTTGCATCCATTATGAGTATGAATGGCATCTGTCAGTTGATAAGTTAACTTAGTGGGGAAAATCTATTTCAGAATTGATTCGTATCAAATCCATACAACATACTCAAGCTTTTGATGGCACCTTTCGGCAAATTTTATTATTCATTCTATATTCTTTATGATTTTCAGCGTAGATCAAAACAATTTTTTCTTCTTATTCTGCTGCTGCTGGTTCCAATGTTGATAATTTTTAATATTTTGGGCTAGTTCATAAAATCAAGTTGAATATCATTGCAATAACAATATTCTATAGGCGGAAGGATAAAAAGAATGTTGGTATTATCAACTAATAAATGGCAAATAACCTATGTATACATTTTTCTTGAAGAAAATTTTATGATGTGCGAAGAAACTTGCTTGATACTGATTAAAGCTGAAAAAAATAGAATACAGATGTTTTAATTTAAACGATAGGTGAGCCAGTACGGAAGAAAAAAGAGAGGTTGCAAGTACTAATATATAAACATATTCTAATGATGATTGAATAGCAGCTTGTATAGACGATGGTATTCGTTGACAAACGACGAGCGGCCTGTCAGTCAGTGCTGTACATCGGTCGCCCGATCTATCTATCACATTTTGTTCCTACTAATGGCGAAAGTTATTGTATATATATGTATGTATAAAAGATAAATAGATACACATATATACGTATATGTTAGCTCCAAAAGGCATTTTGCCAATAATCGTAACACTACTGGTCTGATCTCCACATAAGCACAACTATGGTGATAACAGTATAGTGCATCGAATATCACTTGGCCGACTGAGTATCTTTTTTTTTCTAATCTAGATAAATAAACGTATTCACTCGGGTGATGTTTGTAATGATGCATCCAGCTGTCTGCTGGTTTCTTTTCTGTATATTCATTTATGTATCGTTAATAAGTATCACAGCTAGATAACTGCAGTAGATAGCAATACGTAAGCAAATCATTGGTAGGTGGCATCTATTTTCACTATAATTTCTTCCTTAATTGTTCAATAGATTCGTGTTTTTATTTTGACATCTGATGACACACTTGACAATTAAGAAGCAACAGACAAACAGGCTGAGAAAAAAAACATTCTTAATTCAGTCCAGCAGAAACTTAGTCATCGAACGCTAAGTTGTAACAATCATAGTGTATTAGTATTGTAAAAGAGCATGTGCAGCTTGCCAACGCTTGATAAGGTAATTTGTCATCACCTATCTTGTTCCGTGATAGGAACGAAGGGACGTGTCTTCTGGTCTAAGAACATATATGTGTATGCAAGAACGTCTATCCAAATAGAGACATGCATAAATAATTTTCTTTTATGATTCGTTTGCATAGGAATAGACACACACGTAATGAAAGAGCGATTTCTATGCTCTCAGAAATAGAGAACAAGAACGAGCGCACTAGCCAGAGAGAGAAAGAGAGAAAGAGAATGTACAGATAATGTTCGATCATTAACCAAAAGATAGGAGAGAGTTCTAGTTGTCGACAATATAAAGCGAACTTGCTAGTAGAGCAAGTACAGTAAGACGATATTGACCTTTCGATACGCTCAAAAAGAAATCAGTGACGGTTCATTATTTAATTATTTAATTTTTAGATTTTAAATTAATCATGGGTATTCTTACTGGTAGAGATGAAGGTCTTAAATTAATACCACTGGCTGATTTTGCATTTATTGGTCCACTAACAGATTATGCAAAAGGTTTGTATATTAAAAGAAATCAATGAAATTATTTTCATGCAAATTATGTTTACATAGGCATGTCAACACGATCTTTGCCACCAACGAATCATTATACATTAGAATTTGAAAAATTTGATCAAATACGTGGTATGGCAATTGAACACGACGAACCTCATTTTCATTATATGCAAACAGGCAGTGGTGGTCAGGTAACTGATCCAAAAACTCATAGATTAGTACCAGCACCAGAACCAAAACGTCCAAGAATCGGACAACTTTATCTGGCATTACTTGATGAACCACAACAAATTAAACAACTAGTCGAAATCGTCGAAGAAGATATTGAATCATTACGGCAGAAAGGAGCTGAACCAAAAAATCATTAGAGAAACAAAACTGATTAACATAAATAAATATTATTGAACACTTTTAACCCTTGTCTTTTTCTTCTTTCTTTATTCTCTTCTTTTTGTTAACTACCCATATTTGATATAAACAATAATAATATACAAAATATCATTTATTTTTATTCATAAATGAGATTTATGTTAAAGACGAAAAAAAAACAGATTCATATCGAAATCTATATAAATGCTCTACCACAAATAATAATATGGCATATCTGTGTGTCAATATAACTGACTAGAAGGAAGGAAAAAAATGTTATAAGAACCACCAAAAGAAACTAAAACCAATTTTAAAACTAGCAATACAAAAATAACACGAATCAATATTGTCCATATTTTAGGAACATAATCTTGATTGATAATATTCAATTCCAATCTATTTCTTAGTGGAATTGAAACATATTCACATCGAGCTTTTCTACATGAATCACTTGTGTTTCGTGCACCCAAGGGACACGGTATTAACTTATTCGGTAGACCTGTATTTTGATCACGATCAATGCATATTTGAAGTTCTTCAAGTTCACATTTTGAATTACAATTAATTATTGACGTTTGATTAAGCATCGATATAAGATAAGTTAAACCAATTTTTTCTCCGGCATAACGTTGTATGTACTAAAGAAGAAAATAAATAATGACTTGCTAGCGATACAAAAATATTTAATGAATAACGTATTCTAGACGACACATTGTATACAAAAAGAAAAGATAACTACATCATTAAGATACATCCGCACAAGTACATTATTTATATCAAATGGACTTTGTTCGCATCGTACATTTATAGTTATCTTGAAAATAAAAATGCATTCTCAGAACAGGAATTCTCGTAAACTGTGTATCTTTATAAATTGTAAGTCCTAGAAAAGTTACGTATGATAAACTTTCTATCAGTCTGTTTTCGTCATTTTTTATTTTAGACATAAAAATATATTTATTACCCATTAAAGCAGATGGTATCTAGAAAATGATTAATATCTACAATTTAATCGAAACAATGAATTAAGTAATATCGATAGGTTTTTAATTGATTCGCGAGTTTTCCATGTTTATTTCGGCTAAGCAATAATCGATGCTAACATATTTCGATGTTTCATCTTGATTAATTCAATCAGAACGTTCCAGAATAGGTTCGCCATCGAGCTGAATCTATTGTAGCTAAGTTTGTTAAATTAATCATAGACCATAATATTGATTCATTCATTTGAGTATCACTTGCATTAATCAATTTACTCCCTGATATCCGATGGCGTGCTGAGTGTAGGCAAAGAGAAAACACCCATGCCCACCTCTCTATTCATACATCATCAACATTATGTGGGATAGTCAATGATTAACGAAAAGAAAATATAAATCTTTCATCAAACACATCTAAAATCTGGAGATAAACACGAATTTTATTGTATCTCGAAACTCACAAAACAATTAAATTCAATGACTTTCATATTTATATCTATGAAACTTTCTTCAACAAGGATTTGCCACGTGTTCGGACACTCGATATATTTCTCTAAATAAGACAAGAACTCTATTTTTCTATTCTAACACATTTTAATTTTAACCTGGGTTGAATTGGCATTCGAAGCTTACGACAGATAAGAACTATAATTGACATTCAACTATTCTATTTATTTGTCTATAAGAATAACTCAGACTGAGATGTGTACTTTCTCTGTATTGGCTTCCGCTTCTGTTTAGCTATTACACAATGAGACATTCTCTTCGATGCACATTGCAACACATTACTTTATAAAGGGCATATTTTGATAGAGTTAATGTCTAAATGCTATAGCGAACGTTGATAAACTTCTAATTAGTATCATTGTGGTCGCTGTATTATTGACGTATTGTTAGTATTTAGACTAGCATAACATATAGACTTGGCAGTATAAGGTTTTAAAGGAAAAAAAATATTCCTTTCGAATAGCGAATTATGTTCACACAAAAAAGAAAAGAAAATACCGGCTGTTTCATAATTCTATTTGATTTACCTCATAAATCAAACTACCAGGTCGTGTAACCGTATCAGTTAAATCGAGCATAGCTGTTAAATAATGAGATATATTGTTATCGAATGTTCCCGAACAACATGAACCTATTATATGAAATAATTAAAATAGATTTCAAATAAAGATTTTGTTTGCTTTTCTCGCTTACCATGTTTTGTCCATTCATGATTAATAAATAAATTAAATTGATTTAAATATCCAGGTGCTAAAATTTTCAAACGCTCTTGTTCAGGTTCAAGAACTTCAGTTGCATCAACAAGACATTGTTGAATATTTTCTCTTGATAAACAATATTCATAATGAGCTTGCGTAAAACCATGTCCTGTTGTATTTGTCCATGGACATAAATTTCCATCTATATGACAATATGACCAATCTTTATATGTTGATGAACAAAATTGTGGCCAGCCTTGATAATTGCCACTTGTGGAAAATGTTGGCCACAGACCATGTAATGCTAAGCGTTCGCGACCTGGTTCGCCGACATTAGTATGTGGTGAACAAAAATAACTTAGTAAATTATTAGTTTCATTATAGATCAACGGACAAGTTGAAGGTGGCCAATAGAGACTAAGAATATAATATGAAAAATAATTGTCATTAACACCTGTCAAGCCACCATTAAATTCAAATGGTGATTGTTCTTGATCTGGAGATTTTGATTTACAAAAATCGTCACCTAGAAAATAAATCACCATAACCGAAACGTTTGAAGCAAAAATGTCGAATGATGAAAAAAACCTGTTTCAATTTTACAACGTTTATTTGTGTAACCACATAGGCCTATGGATTTATTATTCATATCACATAATAATTCAGTGGTGTCATTTAAACACCAAAAATTAGGTCCTATTAAGCAATCAAATGTGGCATCACTTAATCGAGCAAAGCAGTAATCAATCAATAGAAAAAATATCACACATAATAGACACGAGATTTGTTTAAATAGCACCATATATTTATTTAGAATCAACTTTAAATAATATTGATAACTTTTAATGTATTATATGGATAAAAAAGGAAAGCATAATTTATGTAATAGCTTTCAGATAACTATGATTAGTTTAAAACTGATAATCTGTAGATAACAGAACAACAAAGACAGACGCCATTCATTCATCGTCTTCTTATATCCCTCCATTCATCATCCAACCATCAGTGACATATGTCAGCTGATTATATTTTGACGCCTATTTACGGAATGTAACTTAATTTGTTCTTCGAATAGCGCCATCTTTATTGAAACTCATCGGATTAAATTTAAGGTCACAAATTTTCCTAGTAATCATTCTTTTTTTCTATTTTGCATGTCAATACATTATAATAAACAATTTATTATCTTTTCTTCTTCTATTTGAAAAAAGAACCATTTAACTTTGCCTCTACTACGACGTCTTATTAAACACAAACAACATCAGACAGACAAGATGGCGACAAGAGAAAAAATCTCTCTCTCTTTTTCGATATATATATATTTTTTCAATAAAGAATGAGAGAGAGAGAGAACAAGAGAGAGAGAGATAGATCAGACAAGAAAGCAAAGTGAGGTCTTGTAAATGAGTCACAGAATTATTCTCTCTTTTTCTCTACTTTATGGCCTTGTCCGGTATTGGAAAAAAACGAGGTTCACGAGTTCAAAAAACATAACCTCAATTAAAGAACAATTTATGATCTTTTTCTAGTATTCTTTCTTAAAGACAAAAAAAAGCCAAATGAAACAAAATAAAATGAAAATTAAGCTGATTTTAATAAAGAAACTTCCTATGTGTCGTACCTCATTTAACTCCTCTTATCTCAAGGAGTAGATTTCTAACGATCAATTCTTTTCTAGATGTAATGATATATCAATAGAAAAAGAAACCGAAGAATTTCTTTATGTTAGATGATTTGTTTTAATTTTTATTGGTAGGTATTTTTTCCTTTATATAGAATGTTCATATATGTTTTATTTTAGCTATCTTCATAATCATGAGTCAAGGTCGATCAATCATCGACATAATACAGTAAGAAAAACTTCAATTATTTATTCCAATTCAAATTTTTTTTCTTGTGTTATTTAAGAGATCCAGCTGCACTCGAATCATTTCTTCGCTCATCGACTAAATCTGTAAATATGAACCAAAAAAATCTTATATTTATCATTTCTTTGTTTTTCTTAAAATTTTCTAGTCAACAAATTCTACTGGATCTCAACGATTGCCAACTAACACACCTGATCAAAATCGTTTAACAACAAATATAAATCCAACAAATAACAATAATAATACTAATAATAATATTTATAATCAAAATACAACAAATAACACAAATGTACAAATAACACAAAATACATTTAATTTTAATACAAATCCATCGTTAATAACAATGCCACAACAAGCTATAGCATTGAATGATTCAACACGTGTATTAAATCAAAACATTGGTTCACAAACAAATGTTAATGTAATATTAAATCAAACCGTTATTCAACAACAACAACCAACTGTTCAAACAACAAATCAACAACAAATGGTTGCAATTAATATTAATGGGAATCAAACATTAATACCATTAAGTATGTTTACTAAATTATTACAGCAAAAGTATTCTTCTACACAACAATCCACAATTGTAAGATTTTATTTTCATTTATGAAATTTCTTCTAATAGACTTCTGTTTTAAGCCTTCAACAACTGTTACACAGCAAGTTGCACCAACACAAATTATACAAAATGGTACAACACAATACAGTAAATATTTTCATACAGAGAAATATAATTTGAGAGTTTTACTCATGATTATACGGAGTCTGAAATAGAAAACTATCTACAAGAGTAGTCTCATATTATTAAAACAATCTAATGATTGATCGGAGTAAAAAATAAAACTACCAATGACTTTTCAACGATTGCTTTCTATTTAATGAATACAAGCAAACTTCTAAATTCATTCTCGTATAGCTATTTTTAAAATGTTTTCTTTTAGGTACTGGGCCTATCCCTCAGCCAAATTCTTCAAATACTCAATCAACAGTTCCCACAACACTTCGGTTCGTTCGTCCAAGTACAACTACAACTACAACGACAACAACAACAACCAATTGTCCAGCATCAAAGTATAGTTCTATTCAATTTCAATTCAATATAAAAATTTTCATTTTTCAGTTTAATGATGATGACTGGTGGACCGCGATTATCAACTCCAATTTTATCTAAACCTCACACCGGTAATATAATTGTTCAAGTAGCTAGCAACGATACTATACAATCAAAATTACTCGACAAAAGTAAACTATTCTCTATCGATTCCATCGTTTTTTTAAAAAAAATATTCTATAGCTGTACCTGCATCATCGAACAGTGATCTAACGACTCAATTAATGAATGATCTTCAAAGCAATGGAAAAGGTACATATTTGTTCATGTTTTTCGCTTCCGATCATATTTCAATTCTTAAATTTAGATCCCGAAAAACAAATTACTTTAATCGATACATATTTATCCCGAATGCAATCAACAACAGAAAAAGATCGTGAATTTTCTACACGAATAATACGCTATCGTGAAACATTATCACAGTCTGTTGAACAGGCACGTATTAATGGTCAACATCGACAACGTCTACTTGATCAATCCACAACATTGAATACGTTACTATCGAATCCATCTATAAAACGTGAAACGCCCGGAACAACACAACAGAAATCCAACGGTACCACACTTATACAATTACCACTCGCAAAACAAGATGAATTATTGAATGCTGTATTAAAGAAACTTCGCCATGTTAATTTACCTGACTTACAGGTATAGATTGAAAGTGAAATTACTTTTGTGTTTTTAAAAATCTTCAGTAAATTTTAGACTCAAGGTATTTTACCCATGGAATTAACATTTGAACAAAAACTACAAATACAAAAGTTAGATATGCAAATAGCTGCTTTGCCTATTGATAAACAGCAGCAATTTGCAAGAGGACAAAGAGAATTAGTACCAAAATATTTAGCTAAACATGCAGCCACTGGACTTAACACAACAACGACGTTAACTGTGGTATGCATTTACTTTTTTAAATTTTAATCGACAAGGAAGAATGTCTTTTTGTTTTCTTGAAAAAGAATTCATTTCTGTACGAAACAGTATCAGCCTGTGTCGAATTTAGATAAGTTGAAATCGAACTATAACATAGACTAATGTAATCTACTACACAAATAGTATGCTAGAGCTTTCCAACCTGGTCTGATTTTGTTCCGAAGAGATATTTTGAAGGTTACAAAGCGGTCACTCGATACGTTCAGTTGGAAATTACATTTCTGGAAATATATATTCTTATTAGATTACCCGTGAACAAAAGTAAATCAGTTCGAACCGAGTGAGTTGTATATATCGAGAAAGAGATTTTGGATCATACCGTTTTGAAACGGATATGCTGAGCTATTTTTATTCATAGTCACTTTTAAAGATACGAACATGACAACAATTTCAGATGTTCAAAATGAAAATATTAGGGCATTCATTTTTAAATATTTTATCAAGCTATCTGTAAACTGATTTTCTACCTTCGCTGAACGATATTTTTAAAAACTAAATACTTGTATTCTTTTAGAATCCTCGAACGAAAATTCTCTTGGGTACTCCGTCTGCTTCAACAGCGCTAATAAATGCAGCGAATAATAATACACGTTCTTTGCGTATATCCAGTGCTGATTTGTAAGTTGAATTATTTTTATTATTCGTTTTCTTTCATCTATTTGTCAATTTCAATTCATAGAATCGGTCAACAATTACGTAAAGATCAAGCACATGTATTAAAACCCGATTTCAAATCACGTTTTTTAACACGTGGCGATGCTATAAAACGTTTAACACGTTACCATGTATTTACTAAACCTGCACCGCCCGCATACGAGCCAACCGATGACGAATGTCAACAATGTAAAAAGATCATAATTATTTCGCTTAAAAAAATCTATTTTGTATAAAATTAATTTTTTTTTGTAGTTGATGAATCATTCGAAATCGAAGCAAAGCGATTATTGGCTGCCAGCGAACGACTCAATGTATCTATATCACGATTCGCTGTAGCTAATGATCGAGTAAGTTTTGCTTTTGTTACTTGCGAAGAAGTATAGAATCTGGTCACATCTGGAAATATACTGTTAGATGCGCAACGCGTCATCTGTCTTCTCATAATGTGAACTAAGAAATTTCTACATGGTTTTAAATCGAGAAGAGAAAGCCTAAGGATATTTCTCATGTGACCAACTTCTACTAAACTTGATCATCAAAATTTTTATTTAGAAATGATTTTTCTCTTGAACTGAAAGTTTATTGTGCATTTTTTTATTTTTAGTTAAATAATGACACTTGTGATAAATATTTATTTGAAAAAATGCGACTTGATGATCTTCGTGAACAGTTGGAAGTTGAAAAAGTTGATTACGATACAAGGAAAAGACGTGCGCTAGATGTTGAAAGTAAATTTTCATAATTAATAAAAATCAACTCAAAATTCATTTCACTCGGAATTTTGTTTTATTCAGACAGACCAATATCTGTGCCGATTCTCGATGAGGGAGCTTCTCCGCCGCCTTCAACGTATGATTTTCTATCGAATGCATCAAATTACAATCTTGGTGCAGCAATGTCCGAAGCTGATTATAATGATTTATTCAATAGTGATCACATACCTGATGAAACAATACGAACAAGCGATGAAACTCAATTAGCAATTAATTCAATTGTCGATTGTGGTGTTATTGAACAACATGAAAATCCTACAGAGGTACCAGATTCAGCTAACTTTTTCTTCGACGATCTTGATATTGATAATCATCAACAGGATAATAATCAATCTCAAGATGATGAAGCTTCACGTGCCGTCCAAAACTTGCTCGGCTTTTCTTGATGTATAAAATAATAAAGAGAAACAAAACAAATGATTCTTTCTTTTTTTTTTGTTGTTCTATTTCTTTAACTTATATTTCTATATTATTATACTTGGACAACTGTTGTTGTGCGCGTGTTTATTTGCTTCGCTAACCTGGTTTGTTCATTTCTTTTTTGTTTTCTTTTTTTTGGCTTCATCATCTTCGCTTACTATTTTTCTATTACATTTCCCATTCGACTGGACAGCTCAGGGATGTGTATTTTTTTTCTATGCGTGTGTTCCTTTCTGGTGAACCGTTTAATCTTCGAAAAGAAAAAAAAACTAAGAAGAAGAATTCAATATGTTTTGTTTTTTCTTTTCGTTACTCTTTGTCTGTGGTTTTTTTGCTATAGTTATTTGTCTTTTCTGTTTTATCCTCGTTTGATATTCTTGGGTGTTGATAAAACAGAACAGATTTCGGTTGATTTTTTTTCAACTAAAAGGAGAAAGGATTTCATTATTTTTGTTTTATGAGGATAAATGATAATATTGACGGGAGAATTAATAAAGTATTTGAGATCGGATTAAATTTATAAATGTTCCTAGGTTCAAATCGATTGAAAAAAGGGCGCTCCTTTTATCGTAATTTTCCTTGATCCTATAAAACGGGCATCGCGATCGTTTGCTGAGAATAACAGTAGTCTTTACAAGGATTATAATGACTGTCCTGGGTTCGTTAAAAGCAAAAGTTTATCATTTAACACAATGAAAAACATTGAATAGTGACGAATCAACAAAACAAATCCACGTTGATTTGTTAGATCATTGTGGTCTCTGATGAAAATGTATAATCTTTGGTTAAATAAGAAAAATGTTTGTGTTTAAAAGGCTCATAAATTATTAATCACTGGAAGTAATATGAGAATCGTACAATAATGCTTTTGAACCACTTGCGTTTATAGCCATGGCTTATTTTTCAAAGTGAAAGATGACAACATCTCAAAATATTTCTACAGCTAATTCAGATTTGCATAAGAAAATCCGCTTAACTCTCTGTCTACAATAGTCTGATGATGATGTATTAATAATCTTGAAAATTTTTACCGAACTAATTTTATTTTCATTTGTATGACCATCATTGAGAAACTTGTTTTTAATCTGCATGCTTCTTAAGTTGTGCTGAGTAAAATGTTATATTTTCTGATTGAAGTCAATGATCATGCTTCAAGCCAAAATATCGATTTACAGTATTCATATGTAAAAATAACAAACCCATTTTGTAGAGATTTACATCATTAGAATAGGCTACATAGTCCTTCCATTAAATATATTTCACCTTTTTACTGTGAAAATATGTAAAGCTGAATCGTTGTTTTGTTTCGAAAAGAAAAAAGAACAGTAGACTGAAACTTATTAATACATTAAAGTGATCAATGACAATGTCAAGTCATATATGTATAAAAAATGGTTTGACATAAACAATTCACATACCTTGCTCGATCTATGTAATACTTCGTAATCGTTAATTGATAAACATAACCAATTCCACTACACTATTGAATGTTATAATCGAAATTAATTTTTTCTGAATCTATAGGAAATCACTGTGATTTTATTTTTCTCAATAGAAATTCAAAACTCATATGCGTATATATTTATATATATACTATCCGGTGTTTTTTAATAGAAATAATCATTTTTTTGTAGAAAATTTTTGAAAAACTAATTTTTCCAAATTTTAGATTATTTTTTCTTCTCGGCAAGTAAAAAAAATAGAAAATTTTTACAATATTATCTAATTATCGGTGAGTGATTGTTCATAGTTAGTATTTTGTTGTTGGCTACTACGTAAGAACATTTGCCAGGAAAATTATCGCTTGAAAAGACACGAAGGATTGATATTGATGGTTATGATTTTCTATGTGTTTAACAGAAAACATTATCTGTTCGTCGAGCAATTGTTCGTCCGAATATAAAGTCATAATAGTATCTTCATTGATTGTTCCTCGTTAACAGAATATGCATCAAATGGTAAATGAGCTCATTGCCATAAGAGACATGCTGATCATATAATAGATATTGAAGGAGGAATCGCGCCCTTTTCATGATATAATACAGCAGTGTACTATTAACGATAGATTTACAGTCTCAATCGTCCACAAAGCAAAAACATTAATTGAAATATACATAATTACGATAATATAGTTCTGTTTTTTTTTGTTCCTTGGAATGAAATCGTATTTAAATTAATTTATGGAAATATTTATTAATAACATTAACATGATGTTGATTATGTATTGTCTCTTTTATTAGACTATAAACTGTTCATTTCTTTCTTCTTTTCGTCTCTTGGTAGTGTAGCTAAGAGTAGTACAAAATATCAATGACATTCAATGATTGCATGACTTTTATTTGAAATATGGCGATGAAGATTTTCTTTTACATTTCGTGTTCTTTTTTTTTTTGAAAAATTGCTCAAGTCAAGTTAAAAGTACTTGTTCATCAATGTTATAATACATAGGTCGACAATTGAAAACGATCGATGATGTGTCGATCATTATCATGTGTCCACGCACATATGTATGCATGTGTAAGCACTTACTATGCATGTGTTACACAAGCATGCGTATGTGTATATTGATTGTCAATCGATTTGTGTTATTTTCGATGATGAGCTGCATTTATTTTCGAGAGGATTGACATAAACACAAATATTGTCAAGACCGCCTGTACTTGTATGACCAGATAGATTACCGACAATCATTGGTTTGGTTTGAGTTATAATTGTAAAATCGATATTATCAACTTTTGGATGAGGTCCAAATGAAAGTAATTCACATTTTCCATCGTCTTGCTCACGCCTATGACTACATCCAACAAACCACATGCAACAAATTGTCAGCCAGAGAATAAAAACTGTAATGAGACCGATGAGAAATATACCGATACTTTCTTCACTATCAATGGAAGCTGATGGAAAAGATAGAGCATGTAAAGTAATTGTATTTGATGGAGGAGAGGTCGAATAAATGGATTCATCTGCAATTTTAGAAGATGATGATATTCTACAAGCGAGAAAGAAATCAAATTAGCTGCTACTGCTGTTTTTGTTATTGTTACATACTTGTCGTTGTTCAAAGATTGTGTATTCGATGACATTAGAGATAAAACTGAACAATGGTAAGTGATATCAACAAGATTTGAATGTGAAGGGTCATTGCAGCTGAGTTTAATAGATTTTGCATGAAATCGACAAGGAGATTGGTTATTGATACAGGCATTATGCATCGATTTTGTATATAAATTGAAACAATCTCCATTCGAATAATTCAATAATGTGAGAGTTATATGATTTAAATTATATGGACATCGTATACGGTAGTGTTCATTGTCGGTGGGTAAACGAATATGTCGTACAACGATAATAGATGAGCTTTCGGAATTGTATAAAAATTTTCCGGGAATTCTTTGAAAAATTAACATTAATAAAAATATCATTGGAATCATGGTTTGATAGTTAAATATGACAGGCATATATGAGCAAAACGGTAATATGACTATGGTAAAAACGTCTCGGTCTATTTCTCGCTTATTCGAAGCACAAAAAAAGAACGAGGAGAAAGAAAAAAAAAAGAGAGGGTAAGAAGATCATTAGTTGTATAGATGACTTCCGATTTTTATTGTGCTCTCGTGGATATACGAGACAACGTAAGAGTAGAAACGCAAATATAAGATAATTACATAGGGACAACGATAGTCCATAGTACTTTTGTTCTTTTTATTATTATTATTGTTATTCTTTCTAAAAGAAAAAATACGAAAACATTCTTTCAAATACATTGATTGAATAGATATCATTGTAAATGTTCGTATGCTTTTAAACCATGGTTCATTATGTCCATGTTTGATAGTCACGAAAAATGTCAAAATATTTGTATAATGGATAAAGTATATCAATGAGCTGGTCGATTTTTGATAGACCGTGTTCTCGACTAGCTTTTTACACTGGTTTTGATAAGTTAAATTGTCTCACACGGGAGCAAAAGAATCAATCGAAAGTCATCGGAGAATTTTGAACTTGAAGAAAAAAATTCTCCGGCTGATTGATAATTTCTAAAATAGTAAATTTTGTTGATTTTTTATGCCTGAAAGAGAGCTGTACTTGATCTTGTTGTGTTTCAACGGCATGGCAACAAAAGAATTGTTCAACAATGGAAAATTATAGTTTACTCTATACAAGCGTTGAGTACGATCGTATTTTTAATAGTAACCAATACTTGTAATGATGCACATATTTAATGTGTACTTTTTCTTATTAAAAAGCAATCAACATCTCGATGCTTTAACATAAGAACAAAACCCATTGGAATTTTCCAGCTTACCTGGATTTTGAGTGTGATCGAAATCAATACATCGCTGAAGGACATATTGTAATAACATTTCTTTTTTCATTCGTTAGTTTCCTTTCCTTACTTCGATATTTCTCGACTAGAAAAACGAAACTTCCCGTCATGATATTTAGTAGATAAACTAGTTCGACGTCTAGTTAGAGTTATCGATTTGACTTGAATGTGTTTCTTTTCTATTCTGGCTTTATTCTATTGTAATGATCTGATAAGCTGATGAAAAAGTTCATCACATAGTACGTAACTTCTATTTAAAAGTGATTTTTATATCAGATAAAACATTTCTTTTTTGCATTGCAATTTATTTAAAAGATGATAATCTATTACTCATAATATCTCTATTATATTTTCCATACAGATTGTTATCGATGACTATCATATAATCAACTGAAATTGATTTTTTACATCTCTAATAGATAGGTATTAATCATCATAATTATCTATTTTTCGCGTCAACACCATAATCATTCAGATAGTATAGATTTTTGAAGGAAAAAAATCAATCAATTAAATCGTTGAATATTTTTATTTCTAAAACACAACACATTTTTATTCTTCTCCGGTTAGTACCGGAGCTAACGGGTACATCGCATTTTTCTTTGTTGTTAACGTCGTATAAGTCACATAACGTTCAAAATCTTGTTCATCGTACATTACATTTTGTAGATAAAGTCCATTGATATCTAGAAGTTTATCTTGATTATTATTCGACGGCGAAGATAATTTTTGTTCGAATTGTTCAAGTGTTAATTTGCCTTGTGCAACTTGAATAAGATCTGCTGTTAACCGTCGTACCATTTGATAAAGAAAATTCGTGCAAGTTAATTGAAGACAAAAACTAAGTGAAGGCTTTGATTGTAAACTTGAAAATAAACTTCCAGCTTCAGATAATGTAATTCCTACAATACGATTAGTATCTTTTATTAGAGCACGAGCTTCTGCTGTTGTAAAGGATGAATAATCAAGTGAACGATTATGAATAAGCGATATTGCTGAACGTAGAAGAGGCAATGAAACTGGTGATGATAAATAAGTAGTTAACGGTTGTTCCATTACTGTTATTGTTGAACTAGTCTGTAGAGAAAAAAAATTATCGTGATAGAAAAATCGAACTAGAGTCATATATTGAATATATCAACAGCAAAAAAAAAGCTTACACTAAACCGATATAGATATGTTCGGTGTAGAGCAGCTAGTTTAGGTTCGAATGCATCGTGTACGAAACGTGCATCAATGACACGCATCGTTCGATTTGCTTCAAGAAGCATTCGATTAATATTAAATTTAAACCATGGTATATTTAATTCGCCTGTTCCTAATTTTTGTTTACCAGGTAATTCAAAATCAACAGTCTATTGAAAAAGTAAAGGAATATAAGTATATTTGATAGTCGATCGAATGCTATATTTACAGCTGTATTACATAATGAATGTACATTGCATTCAGTATATGTTGAAAGTAAAATTTTTGGTCGGCGTGCAGGACAAAACCGAAGTATCGCTTTTTCAAGAATATCTTGAAGATAATTTGTTGATGGTGCTGGTTTATTTAATGAAGAAAATGTTCCCTTGACACTGTATCCTCGATAACATAGATATAAAAGGATACGCATCGATATCTTAAACGAAAAATTGTAAATTTTTTTAGAGATGCACATTTTATTGGTTGCACTCGTCTGTTTCTCTACTTTGTATAATACAAATGGATATCGGGGTCCATTTCGTCGATTATATCCAACAGGACAAACTACTATTCTCGATGTTAATGATGATCCTGGCGAACCACTTTTTCTTACGCCTCTTATTCAGCAAGGAAAATTTGAAGAAGCAAAAAATTTAAGGTTAAATTACTTTTATTGGTTTTTTACTATCGTCTTTTTGAAATTTTCTTGTAGTCTAGTTGAATTATTACCTTATAAACAAAAATCATATTCAGGTTATTTAACTGTGAACAAAGAATATAATTCTAATATGTTCTTTTGGTTTTTCCCTGCACAAAATGGAAATAAATCAGATACGCCAATTATGCTTTGGTTACAAGGTGGTCCTGGGTCGTCGTCACTATTTGCACTATTTACAGAAATCGGTCCTATTTATATTGATGCGAACGGAAATATACAGTTACGGCAAATAACATGGAATAAAAATTATCATCTAATTTTTATTGATAATCCTGTTGGAACTGGCTTCAGTTTTACAGAAAACGATCAGGGTTATGCACGCTCGCAAGAAGATGTTGCACGCGATCTTTATTCAGGATTAACACAATTCTTTCAAATATATCAAGATTATCAATCAAATCCATTCTATGTAACAGGAGAAAGTTACGGTGGAAAATATGTACCATCGATCACGTATAAAATTCATGTAGAAAATCAGAATCCACAAGTCAAAGTTAAAATTAATTTAAAAGGCATGACAATCGGCGATGGACTATGCGATCCAATCAATCAATATATGTATGGAGATTTTCTCTATCAGGTACTGTGACACACTTGTGCTATTAAAATATAGAAAAATAAGGAGCAAAAGTTTTCTTTTCTGACATTTTTTGAAATTCGATTGATAAATCTTATAATTGTAAAAAAAAATCATCTAGTACACTGCGCGTTATAGATTGGCCTTATTGATCAATCTCAAAAATCTTATTTTGACTTACAAACAGCACTGATGCGTTATGCAATTGAACAAGAACGATATCTCGATGCATTTCGTTTATTCGATGCTCTTCTCAATGGTGATCTTCTCAATACAACATCTTATTTTTATAATGTGACTGGTATAAAAAATTATTTTAATTATTTACTCACGAATGCTCCAGAAGAACAAGGCTATTTTGTTCCATTTATTACTCGTGCTGACAGACGACAACAAATTCATGTTGGAAATATATCTTATGGCTCCCAAAGTGAAACTGTAGAAAAAATGTTACTTAATGATATGGTAAGAAAGAAAGTTAGACTGAAATCTAACATGTGTTTTTTCCTGCGTATGAACTATATATATCGGGACAAGAAAGTCGTATACTATAGACTTATCTTGACGGAGAAGTTAATTTCACTTTGAAGCTTCCCTAATAAAATTGCAAAATGGACAGTCAAAAAGAATCTTCATGAGTAATTAGATCTACACATGCTTCAAGGCAAAGGACATTCTCTCATGCTGAGCAGAACAGCTGCTATTGTTTTGTTCTACTTGATCGTTTTCATTGTCGGTATTTACATCATGTTTATAAGTTCAATGCATGAATTACTCTAATTGTGCAATAGCTTATGCAAGAACTACAATCTGTGCTCGTGGACATCTCTTGACGTCTACACATCAAAGAGAAAAGAAAAGTTCAACTTAAGTAGCCGTATTAAATTTTTGAATTGTAAACTAACTCTTCTAGATGCAAAGTATGGCTTGGAAAATAGCAGCGATTGCAAACGCAAATTATAGTGTAATGATCTACAATGGTCAACTAGATATTATAATTGCTGCACCATTAACAATGGAATGGGTTAGTCAACTTAATTGGATAGGCACTAATGAACTTCGTCAAGCACATAGAATAGTTTGGAAAGTTGCTGATAATGATCCTGAAATAGCTGGTTATATAAAAACAGCCAACGACGATCGATTTTTCTTGGCAACTATTCGTAATGCGGGTCATATGGTACCATATGATCAACCACGTGCAATGCTCAATTTACTTGAACGATTTCTATCGAGTCAACCAAAATCTCCATAAGAGTGAAACAAAACAAGGAAGCTATTGATTTGTTGATAATTTCTTCTTTCTGTTGCGTATTCATTCATCTTCTTCTTTTTCTGGACGCCAATGTTTTTTTCTTGAAATCAAAAACAAAGAAATAAAGATTTATTTTAAATGTTTAGATATATTAATTTTTTGAAAAACAATTATTCGAATATACAAATAGATATGAGATTGATAAGGCAACGAGATAAAGGACGATTATCTGGAAAACATAAAAAGGAGAGAGAGAGAGAGAAAACAACATTTCGCAAAGACTAGAAAATGGGCTCGTAGAAAGATAAGAGAATTTCATTTTTTTTAAAGACGATCATGAGTATCATCTTGATCAATCATATTATTATCATATACACTGTTGTTTAATGACGGAGAAGATTTTGCTGCGGCAAGATCAAAAGATTCTTCCAAAAATTTTAATATCATTTCATAGAAATATTCATATTGTGCCTAAAGAAAAAGAAAACGAGTTTCAACAAAAGAGAACAACTCAAAAATAGTTTTAAATAACTTACAAAAGATGTAATCATGGCAGCACGTTGTCGTTGTAAGGCACGTACACGTTGAAATATATCAACAGCATGTTCATTTTTCAATTGATCCAATAGCATAACACACATGCAAAATATGGCACAAGATGGGCCCCCATTTCTGATTGAAATTAATATTAAAAACTATTTAGTATCCTATCTGCATATGAAATCTATAACTAATGATTTGGCGCTATGCCGGAACACTACGATTATATTTTGAGACATGAAGTCTTAAGGTCAACTTGTTACAACCTTAGAACGATCATAATCTGCCATCGGAAGGAAAATAATATTCTGAGAAATGATTGTTTATTCGTTCAAAAGAAGAAATATGCGAAACGCATTGCTTCTTACTCAACGGTTCGTATACTCTGAATTCTACACGTCATTCGAGTAATAAAACTAGTGCAAGGCATAGAATCTAGAATTGTTTTCTGTTTCATGACATATTGTTTCCTATCACTCTTATGAAAAAAACTACAAGTCATTAAAAATCAATCAGGAATGTAATTATATTGGATAGATAATTCTTTTTCATTGTCACTCTTTTCAATATTACGACATCGCTAGTCACAGACGCATCTGTTCGTTATGCAACAATGCTTTTATCCAAACTACCGATTAACGTTCATCTCTTATATGTTGTTCTGATTTCGAATATGATCTAACACACGCTAATAACCTGTCACTACGGACCATTTACGACTCATATAGTAGCATTTAAAATAATCGAATACTAGAATTTTTTCTATAAATAATAAATTACTCTGAAACATTCTAGACAGACAAAAAATGGCTTAACTATCTACGACTAGAATTATCTCTCTAGCAACATACCCGCAATGTACAGTAATATATCGATCATGATTTGTTGTATGTTGTCTTTTATTAATATAACCAATAAAATCAAATAAACTATTTGTTAAAATACTTGGAAAACATTGTCCATTCTCAAATTCATCATTTGTACTTATAGGAGGAAGATATTCGAAATGATAAATTGTTTTTGATAGTGCTTCACGTGTATCTGTTAAACAGAATTCTCTTGTGATCATTTTCTCATGCAGTAGTTCTTTTTGAATTAATTTTAATAATGTTGTTGAACCTATTTTCATTGTTGTATCGTAATCATTCGGATAATAAAGTGGACATTTTGGAGATGACTAGAAAATTATGAAAATTTAATTTAAGGGAAGTTCACACAAAAAACAAAACTTACTTCAGCCATGGTATGCAATTGTACAATACAATTTGAATCATGTTCAATAAACATTCGCCAAAATTCATGAATTGTTTCTGATAATGGATCTTGTGTTATGATAAATGAACAATGATAAGAATAGCCCTAATTGTTTTTTTAAGAATTAGAATTCATTTTTGTTTTGTTCGGAAACAGTAATAAATCTTACTTCAACAAATGATGCATTTATGTACGGATGTCCAAGTATACGGCTTAAGCAAACACGATTACGATCATCTAAGTATTAAAAAGTAATGCGTTTAGATTCAATTTAGATAATATGTATAATAATATGGACTTCGAAAGTTTCCTAATCTCAATCACTCGGACAACAATGAAGAGTTACCGTCATTTGAAACTCGTGTTCTAATTAAAATTCTCATCTACGTTTAGAATAATCATATACAATATGACATTGGATGCTGCTCACAGACACCGAAACAGAAATTTTATATTGTCTAATGATAGACGACAGTAAAGAATGATATCTCAGTGAACTCTATCCTATGAAAAGTAAATCGCAGTATCATTATAAAAGTCTTCCTCAAAATAATTACATACTAACGCATTCTCTTCTCGATATATGAAAAAACCTTACGATTACAATTCAAACTTCAAAACATCCGATGCATCACTTAGAATACTCTTTTTTTCTTAGTTTCTGATAATTTTAAATTAAAAGGCGATAAAATCTTACATGGTACTATTTGTGGATGTCGATTTCTATCAATATTATCCGCAAAATAAGCATCACGTTGTGATACGTTTTCAACAGGTAATAAGGATAATTTCTAAACAGAAGCAAAAATTCAATATTATCAACTTGAAGCCTTCTATCTATTCACATACATTATATTCTGAAACTAATAAATTTTGTTTAGGTTTCTTTAAACTTGAATATACTGATCGAAATTTATTTGCTTCAATTCTTGTATTTCCGTATAGACAATATTCAAGTAATGACCGATAGATAAATACATATTGCCTCTAGACAAAGAAAAAAAACATTATAATTGCATTCTTTATTCTAGTTTTACATCATCACATACCACTGTTTGTACCATTAAATTACGTTCGCGACGCATTTGTAATACAAAATCATAAATATCAATTTTTCCTTCTTGTTTTATCTTATCGATCATAGCATCTATTGCAATATACGTCCCTGTACGACCAACTCCGGCTCTATTAGAAAAAATAAAACGAAAACGTTTCTCTCATTAAAAAGCAGTTTTTATTCTCTTACGTGCAATGAACAACAATGGGATATTGTTCAGGTGATGTTAGTTCATTGACTTCATTTATTAAATGAAGTAATGTATGAGAATCAGTAGGAACATCCATATCTTTCCATTGCTTGTAATGATATTGTATAACAAGATGTGATTGGTGATCATCATTCATCGAACTTATTGTTGATAACGATAAGGCATCATCAATAGGATCGATAGATGATGATGGTGAAGGTAATTCATCATTTTTATGCATCTATAAAATTGAAAAGATATTCGAATTTTTAAAGGTTTTTCGTTTTTTTTTTATTGTGAACGTACTTTATTCAACTGAAAATAGCGTTTATCATAATCGCCTATTGATATTACATCAACACATGTAATGCAATATGATCCATAAGTAATTGTTTGACCTAGTTCAGGCCAATATTGATGACATTTTGTCTTTGAAAAAGAGAACAAAAGAATAAATAATTCGTAAGAAAAAGAATTTCGAACTTACCATTCGTGATGCACCTTCAATAACATTTGTTAACATAACAACTGACTTTATCTTAAGTTCCCATATCATACGCCATACATCTTCACATGTATCAGGTTTTGGACCTAAGCATAAATTTAAATATATATTAAAACAAGTTAATCTTAAGGTCTTTATTTATTTATATATATATATTACCTTGTGTTGCAATAAATTTATTTGGAGTTTTATAGCCCTAGACAAAATACCAATGAGTTTAAAAATGAAATTTTAATTATAATATAACAAACCGAAATATAATTTCCATTGATATAATCTGTAGCTGGATCATCATTCAATAGACTAAGAATAACTCGTGTAGCATCGATAGGTAAAATATTAAGAAAACGATTTTTCGAGGAAACAATTGATCGCGTTGCAGCTGTACACGGTAGTTCATCAAAACTTGGAATACTCTATAAAAAAATCAAGTGAAATTATAGTTAACAAATTTATTATATGCAAATTAATTTATGTAAAAAATTCTGACTTTGAAAATTACTAATGAAAAAAGTTCAAAGTTAATTATAAAATAATATTGAATAGACATACTAAAATTTCTCTATAATCCTATTTAAATTAAAAGCTTCTATTAACTTTATCCAAAAAAAGGTCGAGTAAAATAATTCGTTGTTCTATTCTTAATATCCAATTGTCCGTATTATAATTCTCTTTATTCAGTTCAAATTTAATAACAAACACTCAATAGCCTGTCATAATCACATTTAAACAATTCATCTGACTTACTTTAAATTCAATAGCAAAAGCCAAATCATCTAAAGAATGCTTTTGTATATAAATATCATATAATTGTTCTACTGGAAATTCTTCTGGTATAGTAAATTTACCTATAAAACAAGAAATAAAATTCAAAAAATATTCATTCTTTTCAATTGCAATTCAGTGTATACAATGAAGCAAGCAAATTTATTTGACATGCACATGATAATAAAGAAAAAGAAGTGATCTATATGTAATGATATGATGAGAACTACTAGTTGCATATGTAAAACCTACTATAACAAAAATTTGTTGATAGTGAAACAGTCGAAAGATTTGTTGATATTGTTGATACATTATCATCGAAACGTTGTTGATATTTAACATTTGACAGTGCATAATTTCTTCGTGTTGGTATAGTATATAATCGTTGTCGACGATTTCGATTGAAACGATTAATCGATAAATGAGCTGCATCAAACGAATCAGCTAGAGATGATTGTTCACTGCCCATTTTCATATATACGTCACTCACTCACTCACTCTATTCTACTACTTTGACTAACTATCTATGTCACTTAATTTACGATGACAAAACAACAAGAACTATCACACATTGTTGTCCTAATCTACACCAGACAAAAACTAATCCTATTTACGCTTACCATGAATTGGTGAATGAGACAATGGTGTATTGTCACGAGAATCCTTTGCTGCCGATGACGAATGTATACAAGGTAATTTAAAATAAGCAATACTTATTCGTCGTCTGCAAGGCAAAAAGTAATATATGATTAAAAGTTTCCAACTGTTTTTGTTTTGTTTACCTGAGTAGGAATGTAAAAACGAAGGCAAGTAAAAGAAAACCACTAAAACTACAAGCAAGTATAATGGCAAATATTGTTGCGTTTGATGATGTATTGATCTTTAATGTTGAAGATGAATATAATAGAAGAGTCGATTCCGTTGACGTTGGAATCGTTTCTAAGAAATCTGTACTTGTTTCATCTGTATTAACGTATGTTGTCGGAGATTCTGTTGTAAGATCGGCTGGTAGAATTTTTGATTTTACACGTACTAGAAATGCTGATGTAAGCGGTAATTCTATTGTTGTTGTTGTTGTTGTCGTCATTTGTAGTGTACTTGTAATAGCTGAAGATATTTTTAAAAATATAATCAAGCATACAATTACCCTCAGGCAAACTTTATCAATTTCGCTTCTTTTTTTCTCAACTAGTAATCAATCTTGATGTCAATCAATCAATCATTGACAAGAGTATTCATTTCTTATACGTCCTGAAACCATTGTTATATGAATAACGGATGATTTTTTGTCAATCAAAATATAATTTGATGGTGAATTTTTACTAGCAAAAGGAGAATAAATCAATATTTCATAGACAAATTTTTCGGCATACTTGACTGGTCAATTTTTAATAAAGGTAAAAGTTGTTATTTATTCTATTAGTTAATCTATACTCAATCTTATACGGATGACGAATGTCAATTGCGATCTGTGATAAGAATAGACATATTGAAAAACAATTTTCTAGTTCTTTCAAGTTATTCAGTTCCCATTGTGTATACCACTATTAATAGAAACATCCCAGTAGCTTTTCTCGAGGGTTCAGCTATTTTAAGACGTATTTTGTTTTTACACAATATTAAAAATAGACTTTTTGTTGTAATCTGAAATCTTTACTACATAATAAGAAAATCGTAATAAAACATGATTATATATAATTATATATATATATATATATATATAGATTTACTGACATATAAAACATCTGCTAACGTTAGAAATTGATAGCTGATGATATCATCTTTCAACAAGACAAATATACTCTCTGATTTACTAGTCTAGCATAATAGCATCTAGTTATATAAATATGGATTTCTATTTTTCTCGAAATGGTTAAACATACTTGTTATATTAGCCGATGCTAACGTTCTACTATTCGGCGGCAAACGTTGCCGATAACTGGCCATGATTTTTTTTAATGTTTCAATAGAATTCGATTTCTTCCATGGACGATCGCTTGTTGTTTGATTTAATTTTATCTGACGATTATCATATTGTCGATTTAGAAGTTTTTCAATTGATAATGAATTCTCATATGATGTAATATTTGTCGTGTTTTCACTAATGCCATTTGTTATATTAATAAAAAAAAGAAATGTAATAAGAAAAATAAGCATTTGTGTACTATCGTCATTCATATATCGTTTCGTCCACATTCTATGTCCATCTAGAGAAAAAACAAAAAGAGTAAAGGAACGTATGTGTTATTGTTTCTGTGTGCGCGCAATTAAGAAGCATACATATATATATGTATGTGAGGATAGTATAAACTAGAACATCAAATATAATAGGCTTACTATAACGATATATGTATAAAAGAGAAGAACAAACAACAACTGTATACAAAATGAAGGCCAACAACTTGACCGAGCGCTCACCTTCCCTCATTTACGATGAACATCCAAAGCCATTGCATCATCATCATGACTTTCGCTCCTTATTTCTTCGCCTCCTTCTTCCCCGGATATATCAATTAGAACTCACCGCTGTGTTCTACGTTTTCTTCTCTCTTCTCTCTCCCTTTTTTTTCTTCTTCTCTTACTTCTTGCAGACATATACATCATAACTGACTGACCGATGAATGCACACTTTTTCTTTTTCTTTTCCAACAGATGATGATGATTACGAACGATTAATTTCTGTATACGGTGGGAAAAAATTGAATTTCGGAGCGCAATAGATGAGGGAACAATAGATCTTTCTCTTTATTTCCTTACATATATATGTATATTTATATCGGTCACACTATCAATAAAAGTGACATGTCTAGGTCAAACTTAAAATAAAAGAGGAACAGCGAAAGGCGTTGAAAGTTCCCTTGTGTGACAAACTTTTTGTCTGTCATTGAGTGTTTTGTCTCTACTCATTTATATTTAAACATTTATATATGCCCGCATACACACGTACTAGGACTCAGTTTTGAGACAACAAAGAAGACGAAGAAGAAAAAACTCATCTCTCTCAATCTATACAATTTAATAATCAGGTATACCTTCAATTATACAGATGTACGCGTATCTACGATAAAGCGTCGTAAAATGAACATAATTATAATTAACTGTTTTCTTTTCCTCCATTTTCTATAAATGTGATCGATAAATTTTATTTGACACATTTTAAAACAATGATTCTAATGAGTTGTCACTCAAGCCGTCACTTGTTCATAGTCAAATTTGATGTTTAACTAAATTTCAATTTAACTAATGCTTAACACTCATTCAAGTCATAATTAAAAACGAAATGATTGATGAGACATGTAATCGAAGCTCAATATTACTATACTTTAGTTTTGAGACAACTCATGCTCGAATTAAATTGCGAATAACATTCTTGTAATACGTTGAATTGCTCTCTATTCGATTCATAGAAGCCTAAAGGAAACGACGAGAACATAAAAATGTTCAAGTATTTCAATATACAAGTAGCAATTATCCATGTCGTCTTATTAATCGATAGAATAATAACTATCGTTCATTACAAGCAATGATATTCAGTGAAAATATTTAATGGCAAGAAATAATTTCACATAGCTGGTCTCAATGGAGATAACAAATTTTCTTTTTATAGTCAGGTAAAATAAATCAATCATTCCTTGGAGAGAACCTTTTTTTTCGCTAGAAATAAAGTCACGGATATTCTATAGAAAATTAATATCTATTAAGCGATCGAACAACGACAAATTCAAGGATAATTTACAGTGGAGACACGGCTTCCTTTTTTTCTTTCTACATTCTGATCCGATGGGAAATTTCTATACTCAACGCTATTATTCTTGTTAGGTTTTTTAACCAATTCATTAATGCATCGGAAGGAAATGATTGCTGGACTAAAGTATGCTATGTTCTGTCCAAGGATCGGTCAGATCTTATTGACATAACACAGAGGAAATATTTTGTTGTACATGTGTAATTACAGCGACAGAGCGAAATCGTTTGTTCTTTTAACATTATATAATTCTTTACGCTTTAAATGAAGAGGCAATACGTTCAAAGAATTCTATATCGAAAATACTAAAAAGCATAGTTGTTTAGGTATTCTTTTATTTTGTTTGGATTGAAAGATTTGTTGCTATAAAAAGTAAACCTTTCAAGTGATTTTTGCATATATGCATAACGAACGAATACAAAATGCTTGTTGCCACTTGTCAATGAGAAATCTTATATGACTTCTCTATAATTTAATAAAATAGAGATCGATGGTTATTGAATAATAGCAAATCTATCTTTAAAACAATAATTTTGATTGATAGAAAAGTTTTCATACGACGAGTACATTGAAATTCGAGTTCAGAAGAATAAATTTAATACTTACATTTAGTTTATGATCATGTCGATTGTATATTCAATTCAACGATAGATCTTATCGACGATTGGTCATAGTTGTTTTTATAGTATAAGAAAAATAAATCTACAATATACATATATATATCATTTTACTTTATTGATCTCGTTTGATATTGTAGGAGATTTCATATCAACAAAATGATCGTATACATATTTAATCCCTTTGCATTCTTGGTTATATACTGACTTAAGATGAAAGAAAAGCGAGAACAAAAAGTACATAAATACCAACTCATTATCATCGATCTGACACTGAATGATTAGAAGAAGAAGAAGAAGAACAAGAAAAGAAAGCTTAGATAAAGTATTTGTTCTTTATTGCTATGAGAAATCGATCATGTGCCAGACTAAAAGACTAAAAATAAAGCTATTGGAAATTTTCGAAAAATATTATCATACATACAATATTTTATACGCGCACAAAAATATGTTCAATCATTGGAAAAATAAAAACCTATACGAGATAATCGTACGAGATGAATTAATTTGATTTTATCTATGATTATACTTCAACATTGTTTCGATCGTTGAATACCAAAAATAAGATGTTCACTCGGATGTGTACCAAAAGTCGGATAAATCATCTTCATATCTTTATTATTACGTGTAAGACGAGCAAATCCATCATTGTCAAGCATATCAGCTAAATCCTTTAATAATCAAACATGATTTTTAATTAAAATAGCTTTCAGTGGCCTATTTATTTGTTAAATATTTTCCTGTTTTCATTAATCATATGAATGTCAATATTAGTATATTCTACTCCCACTATTTACTAGCAAGAGAAGAGGCTTGTACTAAGGAACTAAATGCAAATATTACCATCTTCAATTCATATTTATATTTCATGATTGATGAACTAAACGATATGAAAAAATGCTCGACTATATTAATAAAAAACTACTAACATCTTAGATCTCTATTGGACAAATTAATAGAAATAGAAACATATTGAAAAAGAAGTTTTTCTTATTTCTAGAAATAATTCATAGAGAGGTCGCCATTAAGCATAATTTTTACATTGACTATGCTTACCTGACCATCTATTTTAATATCCACAAAAGATAACGGCCACCAGGATTCATTCGATAAAAGTGTCACAGAAACAAAAAGAAGCGGTTCACCATCGGGCTTAATAAGTAATCGACGTAATCTTCGTGTACATTGTTTGCCAATATTTGTATTCCAACTGATTGTACCTGTCTGCGGATCTCTTTTTGGAAGAATCTACATTAAGAAATCGATATAAAAATTAGAAAAAAAATGAAGAAAAAGAACTCATACATGAGAGAGTGTTACAGGAATACTTTGAATTGTTAATTTTGTAAATTCAACATGAAGCGGACGAATACCCTTTATATGGATCCATTCTGAATTTCCGAAATCAACATATATAATTAAACATTGTTTATCTAAATTGATTATTTTATTAGCATAAAGAGTATTGATTTTTTTTTTGAAAATTGGAACCTACTGCTATGATCAATATTTAAAATCCGAGCACGAAAAAATTCAAAATATTGCGATGAATAAGCAATACAAAAATTGCCTATTTCAAAAGAGTTTGTTGAAGGATTTGAATATTCATTCAAATTATTCATATAATATCGACTACCAATATCGAAATATTAATTAATTAATAAAGAAAAAGAAAAAATTCTCACTTCATATCTTGATGCATTTGTTGAAAAGCAAAACCATCATCAAGTGTTTGCATAAATATAGCAGAAGGATGATCGAGATGAGTTATCAAACAATTGGAATATTGCACATATTCTTCACATTTTTTATATTCTAGTATCGCTAAAACCAAAAACTAACATCGAAACGTTGCTATCGATGAAAATAAAGGATCTTACGTTTACTAATAGTAATTAATTGAAAAGAAAGTCTTTGATTTTCAGCTGTTAACGACTCATCATCATCATAATTATCATAGTGATTTATCTGTGGTTTATTATCGTTTATTGATGACAATGGTGTTATACGACTTACAACTCCACTATCAGCAAGGTCAGTTGATGGTGATAATATGAATTGTTTATATTCGTTTGATTTCTTGATAAAAACATGGTCAATAAATCGATCGTTCATAATAAAAAAGATGCAATCTAGAAATTCTTCAAAAATTTCATTATTATTGCCAACGATAATTATTTTTTATTTCAAACAAAAAAAACAGCAGTGCATCAAGAATAAAATTAATATTTTTTACTCCATCGGATAACATTCAAATCATTTGGTTTCAAAATCAATACCAAATGCATTGAAATTAGAATATGATATCGATGAAGGACATTGTAAATAGTGCCCTTGAAATGATTATGAATACAATTGAGTGATGCACAATAGAACGAAGCCGAGACGAGTTGCTATTTAAATAAAATAATAATCATGATATTTTTTCTCTAGTTGATTCAATAATATTTAGCTAATCAGCTTCTAATTTGTTCATTATATTTATCGATTAATCATATCACCTAAAATATCGAACGAAAAGAAATATAAATATTGATCGACTATAAGTTAGTCTATTCAAATATATATATTCATGATTGTCGAGATGTGGTATATTTGTAGTGCATATATTTTTACCTTGCGCAACTTCGGTCTTTTTTTCTTCCACTCTTTTCTTTCGTCTGATCAAAATTCTGTGGGGTATTTGCACTTACAATTCATGTAAGTCATGAAAAGCATATACTTATGCATCATTATATACGTCAACTCTGTTTGCTTTGTAGACGGATCTAAGATTTGCTTCTAAATCTCAAATTATTGAAAAGCAAAATTATAATTCGACTTTAGTTTTACTCTATAACGTATAATTATAAGACTTAGGTAAGCTATGAAAATACTATGATCAACGAAAGATAAATATATTTCATGTCTTCTGAAAATAATGATAGCCTTGAAATACTTGTTGAAAGAAAATAATATTTATTATGAAATCACTAACAAATAATAATCATACGCGACAGTTGCATATTTCAAGATGGTGTCTGTTTTATGATTCGTAGCATTCTTTATAATATGTGGATAAGAGCTTTTCGTATACTGTAATTCAATTGATGTCAAATTTTCTTATCTTGTATTTCTGATAAAGTTGATTTATCTATTTTCAAAAATTTATCCTGTCCAAGAAGTTAGAAACAGCTTCTTCTAATAGAGAAATCCAAAATTAACAAGAAGAAATACTTAAATTTAACGGAAACTCGATCGCAGAAGAATTTTGTCAATATAATACTTAGTGCAATCAACTTACTGTGGTAATCAATTCGAAGAATATGAACACGATGAAATTCACCATTTTCCATACTCTAATTCAAATCATGTACTATATAGTAGTCATCGATATATGGTAAATTGTGAAAGATCATCCATTTTCTAATGTCGTTCTGCAAAACTGACTAGAAATCATATCATAGAATATCAAATGCATTGAATAAAATTCGTTTGATTTAAGAGTTTACCATCATATGAAAATGTTCGAAAACTGACTTGATATTTTTTATGGAACTACTGAAATACTTTGTCGATGCATCGTCAATTGAATAAAGATCAATGATGAATGATTACTATCATAGAGTTTTCATTGGCTTTCAATATTGAATAACTGTTGAACTTCTAAAATGAAAGAAAATTATCAGATGATCGCAAACATATCTCATATGAATTCACATATGTTATCCTCAAGTTAAACTATTAACAGTAGAGATTTCAATTTGAAATGCCATATATAATTATGAAACACCAAAAAATAATGTGTGAAGTTCGGCCAATCTCTCACAAAAATTGATTTATTTCACTCGCAAAATCTGTGTCTATAGTCAATAGAATTCAAGGTTACACGATGATTATACGATGGAAATGACTTACATGCTCCTATAACTATTGATTCATATTCTAGTAAAGATTAATTAAAAATAAAAGTCGACAAGTCGTTCATAGTACAGTAACATTAATGATGACATCAAACTGTCTTCTTTATTTAGATGAACATCAATGTCAATGGCACTTAATCACTATTATTTGTTTTTGTCATACGCTTCTCTATCATTCTATTGGAGATCTAGTATCTGGCCCCATCATAATAAACACTAAGGGAGTGGTTTCACGAGTCATTTATGGTTGATATATATGAATGACTCTAGCTTTCGAAAGTCTATATTTTTCTCTCTCTAAATATATGATGCTTTGAACGCTGGATGTGGCATCTTCCTTTTCTTCCAAATTATCAGTAACACACAATTTTTCCTTAAAGAACAGTTCATGTGAAAAACAAGAGTTAGTTAGAAGCTTTCTGACTTTAAGATACTTCAGTGGAACACAATGAACTTTTAATGAGAAGTATTCTTTGAAAGTAATCGGGTAGTTGCGATTTTTCAAGCATGCTAATGAATACGTAAGAGCTCTTTTATATTTTTGGCATCCAATGTTTTTACGTTTCTTGTTATCATCTCATATAGATATTTACAATGAGAAAAGAAAAATAACACTTTTTCAAAACTCAGCGGACACTTACAAAATATTATTTCAATAAACATGAAAGATATTTTTCAAATTTTATTAAATGAAAAAAATTACATCGTATTATTATTTGCAAGCTATTCGAAAAACAGGAGGCTAATCATAGGTGGATGTTAAGATGTACTCGTTTAACTGAGATATGTAAGTTTTACATTCAAAAAGCAACAATAAAACTTTCTTAAACACAATGTTATATCGAATCTCTCAACAATCTAATATACAATTCTAAGCTTTTTTTGTTTCAGTATTATGCTTTGTTTCCCTAATGAAGATGCATGTACGATTGCCGTACAATCACTATGTGATATTGTTATACCAAGTATATTGATTGTTTAGTCATTATGGTCGAGTATTATGTGCATATATTTTAGATTGTACACCATGTCACGGATGGAGTGACTCATTTGTAATACGTTAAGATTATATTTCGTAAAAATAGCACCACATCGAACAGACACGATCGAATTATTGTTTCTATGTCATGTTGCAATGATTCATCTCCCGTTCTAAAAAGTATATTACGATAGATTCGAATGTTTTAATTTAAATAATCGAATTTTTTCAAAGCCACTGTAACCTATACGTTTACTATCTAGTTTGAACTTATGAGCTATAAAATTCAAAGTACACATTAATTAAGTTCAATGTCTTTGTCATTTAGGGACGCCTGCTTTTTTAATCTTCTCGAAAACACCTATAATAAATACATAGTAAACAAAGGATCTTTCATATATTCTTTTTGTCTGATTCAAAACAAGTTAACTATCATACAATAAAAGGTACAGTATGAAAGATTGAAATTACGGAATTCATTTTCATAATTTGCTCGTTTCACAACGACAGTCAACTGTCTATCGACGAAAACTAGATGAGCATATCTTGCATACCGTTGAATTGAAATTGATTGATTGTATTGAGTTCTGTTGTTTCCATGCCTATATTACTATAGGATTGTCTGATTGATACAGTGATTGAGTTGTTATCGTCAATTAGCTGAAGAAAATCCAATGAATCTATAAGAAAACATACATGAGAATCTTCGAAATACAACAAAATCTTTCCCCTATGTCAGTAACTACTTTAAATAAACTCTTTTGAAACTTTTGAAAAATATTGATCATGTGAAAATTACCATAATGGCTTGCTTACCATAAAGAAATCGATCCTAATCAAAGATGACAAGTCAACGTGATGGCACTTATACTGACAAAATGCACTGTCTCATTGAATATTGGAGAAAGATGATATTTTATTTAATAATACATCATTATACTGTATTAATATCAATACAATTGAGTATCAATTAGTAAAATTCATATTGAAATTCATAAAATACCCTATTTGTCTGTAAAAACAACTGTACATACAACTACAAGAAATGAAGTCATTGTTAGATGAATTCGCCAATGAAATCATTTACTGGACAAATGCCTTGAAAAATCACGAATATCTTAGTCAAATACATTTTTTAGTTTCATTTTGCAATAATATGAATAATAGGATGAAGTAATTTTCTATATAGACATGATTTTTATTTCAAATTGATTATATCATGGTAATTGTAGATGGTGCTGTAAGTCAATGAGCAATTTTATGTTATTTTTATTTCATGATTTCTAACCGAGAAATTCTCGCGGATCGCCTCTAAAAATTAAATGCTTAATATGAGTTTTCCGTTCAGTGGGCGGTCGTGCCGAAAATCCTTGAGAATTATTGTCAGAGCCAGTATCCGTGATGATCCCTCGACAAAGAATCTTTCGAAAAAGTCATGTTTTTTTTTACTGGGATTACCCATTTTCCATGCAACTCCAGATATACTTAACATGAAAAAAGAAAGCAAAAATCATATAATTTATTAAATAATCCTTTCAAGAAATAGTAGACTCGTATCTGTGATTTTGTCAGAACTAATACCATGAGTAATAATACGAAGATCCAATTCATGCTGAGTAAATTGAATAAATTTTTATAGTATACGCGTGAATGAAAATCCGTGCCAGATTTGCAAATATTTCTGGGGTAGATTGATTATAAAAAAAGAGGTCTAACAAGATGTGTTTATTGAATCGTTTATTGAAGATTGATCATGCATGGCATGTATAATAATATATATATATATATATGCATAATTAAATATATAGCCATTTAATTGTTAAAACAACTAATTTGTCATCGAGTAGAACACTTCATTATATATGTCGTTCTTCATAATAGATAATGTCGCACAATATAGCTTTTTGTGTTTTCAAAAACACGTTTTTTTATTTATATTTTTCGTGAATAGAAAGGAAATGTTTCTAGAAACATAGATACAAGAGAAATATTTCACACAAATCCACGAAAACATGAACATACATACATATATATGGAAAACAAAAAGGATTGGGGAAAAAAACAACAACACAAAAAGAAGAAGCAGAAAATACTATAGTATCTACTGAACTAGATTCTTGGTTTATGAAGAAAGAAATCGCAATAGAAGCACGTCTTAACCTTCAATAAAGGGAAACACACAGAAGAAAAATATATATAAATTTTTGAATGTTTTAAATAGGCTAAATATTGCCCACTGGAAATAATATAAAGTTTATCATGGAAGAGCTAAATAAAAAGTATAGAATTGATGATAATATGATATTCTATATATATATATATAAATGACACTTACTATCACTATAAATATCTGACTCAACAACGGCAACATTGTACAAAATATATTCCATTGATGTGAGTTTATCATTAAAATGCATTGCAATTTGTTCATTCTGAGCTGGTATTAAATATGGTGCCAATTTTGGATGTTGAGCTATTGACTGAAAAATTAGAAAACAATGATATATTACATATAAAAAAAAATCTTAAGATATACTTGTCCATTGAGAATAACTTTAACAAAATGAAGTGGCCTAGAATAAGAAAAGATAATACAATAAAATATCAATATATTAAAACATAATACATACCATTGTTGACCGATGCCTTGTTGAAATTGAACTTCGACGATGCGATTTTTCACAAGTAAACTGAACATTTGAGTTGCTTCTGGAGTCCAAAAATTTTCATTACGTGGAAATGACTAAAACATTCATTCTATTAGAGAGAAAAAAGTGTATCTGAAAAATAAAATTTACTTCAGCTAATGTACAAGCAACAGTCATTGCTGGTAAACGAGCTAATATTTCTTGCATTGGAAAAATTTCATTTCCTGGTTTACTTTCTGAATTTCCATAATCAATAAAAACGATAAGTATCGATTCCTCTAAACGTAAAATTGTTTTCATTTAATATTACTTCCGTATAGATGAATAGAGTATACCTTGTATAAGAACAACTCGAGCGCGATACCAAAGATTATCTTCACTAAAACGAGCTACACAAAAATCACCAATAGTTGGATTTTTCAATGGTACACTTGTATTAACTGGTTTATTGTAGTAATTACTAAGAAAAATAAAAAGCTAGACATGAGACACAACTGATAGTTTGTTGTTATTGGTTACTTCATTTCCATTGATAGTATACTAAATTGTTCAGCAACACGTGGATCTTGATTACAAACAAAAAATGCTGATGGGTGATCAATAATTGGTATATCAGCATTATGCCATGTAGTATTAGCTTTAATAACCTGCATTTTAACTCGAATTTTACCATTGATTACATTGGATTCACTTAATGTTCGAGCTAGAATGAAAAAAAAACGGATAGACATCAATCCTGAAATAAAATTCATGCCATATTGTATATGCTTACATGGATGCAGATCTGATGATCGTGGTACAGTAGGATTTGATGATAGTTGTTGATAACCATGAATTGTACCATTTTGTATTGGCTTTTGTGCTCCTTGATGATCTGATATTTGTGTAATGAGGAGATTTTGTAGTGCAGCTCCTCTTTGCTGATTATTATTACCAGTATCCTTTTGACCAACTGGCGGTCGATGAAAAGCAGATTGAACTTGAGGTGATTGATGTTTTACAGGAATCTTTTCTTGGAATAATGGTGCAGTATTTCTTGGTGCAAATGTATTTGTAGATGAATTTGTAGCAACATGTAATGGACCCTGAATACCGAAGTTAATTTGTTGATCATTTATTGAGCGCCCTCCTGTATTTGAAGGTAAATTTCGTTGTGAAAGAATTCCAGTATTGACAGTTTCATTTCTGACAGAAGCAGTTTGTATGGACGAGGAACCACGTATTGATACATTAGTAAGACATGACGGTACAGAACTCGCTAGAATATTGTAGAAAATGATCGATAGAAAAAAAGTGATTATACTCATTTGTCTGACGTTTGAATTATTTTTGTTTACCTTCATTTTTTTCCATATTATTTGTAGCTAAATTTTGAATTGAAGATTGAAGATTATGTAATGATTCGGTTTGTAGTTCAACAATGGCTAGTTTTTCGGCGACATTTAATAAAACTTGATTACATTTCGATACTTTTTGAACAATAATCGGTGATATATTAGAATCTGATTCAATGGCACGTCGTTTATTTATCCATATTTGTTTGACTTCTTCGACGTAGGAATTCACTTGAAGTAACCGATTACTAAGACGATCACACAAAAAAAGGAGATGATCGACATCGTCGAGAAGGTCGACGGCATGTAAACTGTTGGAAGGATTCATATCTAAAAATAAGATTCAATTGAATGCTGTAGTTTATTGATGGATTTATTTATACAAATAGAGATGAAAGCGTAAATTTAAAAAAAAAGGGTCTCACCAACCTAACGATCTTTATCATACATGGCACTATACCTATCGATGAAGATTCTATTTCTTGAACTCATTGGTTAACTTAAGCAGTCGTTTTATTGACAGAGAAAAAAAATGAACGACATGATATAATATGACCTATGACAATAGATTTCCAACGATCATCTTCGAACTTCAAGTTTATTTATCTCTTGTCTTAAAATATTTGGAAAAATTTCTACATATGAAATTTAAATATTTGATCTCTACAAACAAGATATAGTATATTTTAATGTACGTATAGAATGGAATTTATATGAGCTCTATGGTAATCAATACATATTTAGTTGTTGGGGGATTATTATTTCAAATAAGATAATAGTTCCACAAAACCGAGCTATTGAACAGCACTCATATTGTAGTTCGTCATCGTAGAGTAAAATCTAAGACTACCTTTTTAGTTCACGATACAGTCATACGTCATGGTTTGCTGATCTTTTTCTTTTGTGTAATAGTATATTTGAAACGCCAGATAAATATTAACCAAGAATGACTAACTGATTATTACTTTGTGCTCATTGGAAGATATTGACTTATGTCCTGCAACATCTCCATATGTCGCCTTTGTTTGTACGTTCGACCATAGGATAAATGCGTCCAAACGGTTGAATAACATTAAAATCAACAGCATATTTAAAAAAGTTCAATATTGAAGAATTATTTAAGTTTCAAGTCAACGAGAGAATTCATTTTTATGATTCGAGTGAAAATTTCATTGATGATAATATATATATTTTCTTTCGTTCATATTGACTTTGATACGAAATGATACCATGGTACGAGGAACTTTTGGAACACAAAAACATATTACTTGAGATATTCAAACAATGAACATAAGAATTTTGATTTTATTTGACTCATTTTAACGCATAAAAATTTCTCAATTGTAAGATACATATATATGTTTACCATTATTTTCACTTGTTTTTTTTCTCTCATTAATGATAAAGAATAAAATACAAACATGAACTTATCAAAAAATAACGGACAAAAGGTGATATTGTATTAATAACAAGAAAATACAATGATCTAAAATGTATTGATATTAAGATGAATTCGGTCTCATCTAGTCAATTCTACCAATTAAATATTTGTTATCTTGTTATAAACACATTGATGAACTATTCCGACAGCAATTCAATAGAATACAAAAAGAAAATCACTTTAGATACGAGATATAAAATACTGAATACATAAGCACAGACATGCGAACAAAAACAAAAATAATTTGTCGCTAATCAACAAACAAATTAAAATAATATTTTCATTATAGTTCAGTTTTGATCTCTCTCGTATATCAATTAAAGTCACTATCGCCAATCGGCACATTGAAGAGAATATATTCTTGGTGATTAAGATAATTTGCTAATCTTTCAGCAATATAACGGTTTGTTTTCGGTTCAATGCGTTGTTTCAAATTTAGTAAATTTGTCACAGTCTAAATGTAAGAAAAATTGAAAAACAAAGAAGTTTTGATCTTAAAAATAATCTTACCTGATTACCAACAGTAATTACTACGAAATGCAAAGGCCTATTAATATAAAAAAAAAGAAGAAAAATCAATTACTTTTCATCAATGAAAAATTCTAACACAAACCATTGTTCCGTTCCTTCTTCGGACTTGGAAAATGTAACTTCAACTATTGAGTCAGTTACTGCATCTTTAAATATTTGAACAGTGTCTTGTGGCCATATCGAATCGTTATCATTTGGCGTACGAGGATAAGCCTTGAAGAATAATTATTGTTACAAAAAATAAGTTTTCTATTAGTTTTTCATACTTCAGATAGAGTACAAGCAATAGCTTGCGCTGGTAAATCGGTATATAATTTATCAAGCGGAAAAAAATCATGAATATTTATTTTTTCAATATTTCCAAAATCAATAAAAACAATTCGTATATTATCATTTTCTTCACAATGTAATACACGTGCACGATACCAGTGATCATCTTCATTATATTTTGCTACACCGAAATCACCAATACCGATATTTTCTAAAGGCATTAATTTATTTGATTGTTCTAGACTACTATAATAATCACTAAAAGAAAAAAAGAGAAAGAAAATTTTAGTGAATAGCTTTGAAAATTTCTCCTTACTGAAGATTTTCTAGCATACGCTCAAAACTTTCACGTACTTTTGGATCACAATTTTCAACATAGAATGCCGAAAGTGAATCAACAACATCGATCTTAGCTTGTGGCCATTTTGTGCCAGGTGGAATGCGTTGTAATTTGACTTGAACTTTACCGCCTAGATTAAAAATGAGAATTTTTTAAAGATAAATTTCAATTAACATCACATACGAGGTGGTTGTGAATAATTAGAAGTCATGTGACTTGTTGAAGCAGCTATCATAGAAGACGTCGTCCCATGTTCCGATTGTGGTGATCGTGTAGGATATGTTTGTGGTACTGAACGCATCTATAAAGAATTTAATATTGATTAGTGAGAAAAAATAAACAAAGAATTGCATTGTCTAGTTAACAAACAATATTTTGCAACCATGTCTGTTTTGTATTAATTAAAAATCAAAGTAAACATGCGTGATTGTTGTTGTGTAAAATCAGTTACTGGAAAACAAATAAATTCCCAAAACGTAGAAGGAATTTCCCTTGCTATCGAAAATAAGAAAAGTCGAGATTTTTTTTCATTTGCAAATTCGAAGAAAATACATCGATTGATTTAATAAAACAAGATATGATATGAAGAAGCAAAAACCGAATTTCTATCAATCAGTTTCGGTTCATTTTTGTTGTTGACAAAATACACCTGAACTGTTCGAAAGAAAACATTCGTTTACTTGAATTCCCTAATGAAAAAATTCTCCTAGAGACAATATTTTTATAAAAATTTCCCGTAGCACATATTACTAATCATACATACATGAAAAGGGTGTAGTCTAATTGAAAACAAAGTTCAACTTATCGTTTTTCTTAAGATATTCAATCAGGCCTCACTATGAAAACGTACTATGCTTTTATAACTTACAAAATGAAGTCCTTCATTAGCTGGATAATAAGCGGTTTGTGGGTGAATTGGTGTTGGCCGCGGTGTAGTATCGGCAATAGTTGATGATCGCTGCTGTTCAATAGGTTTAAAGCCAGCTTTTTCTTGTGTAGCTGCTAATGACAAACGATTAGTTGGTGTTGGTTGTGATGTTCGAAGCACAGGAACGGGTAATGCTTGTTTTCCAAGTATTTTATTATTCGCTATTGACTCCGTATACGGTAGTTGCTGTTGACTGATTGAATTCAATGATGGTGAGGATACAGGATGATGAATACGCGAATGAACACTATTTGTTATTGGGCGTGACACATTGTTATCGAATGAACGTGTTGAAAATGATGTTAATCTTGGTACTGAAGGTATTTGTACTGATGATCTTGGATCAATACGAAGAACTTGTTCCATTAATACCTCAGCTCGACATAAAACTGAAACATACATTTTATTTTAAATATTAAAAAACAACAAAAGTTGTTTTATGTAACCTTGAACAGCTTCAATCGTTAATTCATTAATACGTTGAGTTTTTGGTAAAAGAAAATCAAATGATGATGTTGGATTCATTTGATCGAGAATGATTTGTCGACGATACTCCCATGAATTAATTTGTTGGTCTATATTAGCTGTGATTTTATTTATATATTCTTTTGCTCTGTCATATATCACGAATAGACGACTGGGAAAAAAATGAAATAAAAACATTTAATTTTTCATAATATGAAAAACACATTTTAGTTTCTTCATTTTTGAACATACTCAATTTCGTCGATAACGAGAGTGCTATTCGATTCATATGTCATAATGGAAACGTCGCTGTTTTCTTTTATAGTAAATAGAGACGTAAATCCAATAAAAATTGATCTTAACAATCACAGAAACAAAGAAAAACCCTGATGTGGGATACGTATGTGTTACCAACCTGGACTCTCAAGCCAATGATTAAAATAAAACATGGAATGAATAAACGCACCTATGAAAAGCAGCGATATAGAGGACGAATGGAAATGTTTGTTACTTTCTATCATAATTTTGCTCAAAAACGACGAGCATAAATATTAATTGGGAGAATATATTAAATTATTGAATTGCAAAAAGGAATGCATCTGACATTTATGCATATATTCACATTGTGGAATAATTATTACACAAATCTTAAAATCTGATTTTGTTCGATAAAATAAAATAAAAATCAAACGGGGAAATTATTAAGACAAACAACGATAAAAATAATTTGTGTTAGTTTTTTGCTAAAAATTGTTGATAAAACTTTTTCTCAGTCCGAAATATATGGAATTCATTGACGCAGAACTCATGAGCGTGATTACAGTTCAACACTATTAGGATTTACTATTTTATTCAAATATTTATCGTAGTAGTCCGTCTGGCACAAAAATATCTAGGCTTTAGCAAAGGTCATTAGTGACTAAATACAACCAACTAGAAAAGAACTCAAGAATTAGTACGTATCTACTGAAAATTAACGTCACACAAGACAAATCAGTACTTGAAATTTTGAACTGCGTAATAGTGCTCATAGTTCTATCTCATGCATGGCCGTCAAAGTCCTCGTTGATTCAAGATGGTGGTAAGAATTTTTGAATAATTTACCAAAATAATAGTTAAAACGATGGCACTCATTTCAAAAACCCTATTATCAGAGATAGTTGAGTCGTGGGAATCTTTTTTTCTTTTTTGATATTAGAGGTTTCTTCTAATGTGTCTGAGACATTATATAATTTTGTACTATAAAATGAATTATTTTTTGGCATATGTATTTATGTTTTGAGCTTTAGTGAATTTAAATGGAAGTAGAAAACAAGGAAGAGGGCTATCGGTTGATTCACAACATTTATATTTATACTTTATTACACAAAAAATCCCTATATTCCCATAGTCTCCGATGTCTTTATTAACGTTATGTTTCAAAACTTATCGTGTTATGAAATTGTTTGCTCTTCAATTATCTTCAAATACAAAACGAAATGTTTGCATACACATCATGTGTGAGAGGAATAAAAACCTACGCTAAGAAATAAGCAATAAAACGCACTTGAAAGTCTTTCATACAGTTTAGGTAAAACTATTTAGTATAGTGACAGTAAAATGCATGCATTTCATTAGTTATTGGATTCTTTCAGCTACATTCTTTCATGTGCCTGAGGATAAGAGAAATAAACTTCATAATTGCGATGCAAGTTGATGAATGTTTGTCAACAAACCTAGAAGTAGAGATAAAACCATTTCAAAAGACTTTTCTTTTCTAACAACTCCTACTATTTAAAAAGCAACAATAATAATGCCTGGCAAAATCATTTCATCGCTTCTGGAATTACCTACTGAGATTATCTATCGTATTTTGGATAATGTTCAGTTTACAGTGTATCGTTACGATTGAATGCAATCATGGACACATATTATCGATATCAGGTAAAGTCGTCCCTGAATCATGAAGCCAGATTTTCATCATCTTAAAGTCAACACTATGCATAGATCACCGTTCCAGTTACTTCAATGGATGATTTTAAGATTGCAGGAGTTCGAATAATGTTGACAATGCGATAAATTTCACCCAACAGTTAATAATAGATCCCAGCATTTGAGTAATATCGAAGGTTTTTTATGCATCCTTATTTCGTATATAAGACTCGGAAGAATAAAAATAAATGCGCACTTTGAGAGCTTCTCAATCATATTTTCATCTGATTGCACTTTTCTTCAAATAATGATGGAAAGGAATTTTGTTCAGCATTCTTATTGAAAACCATAGTAAATATCCAGTGGAATTTTGCGAATTTAGAAGTCCTTTACACTTGCTAAAGTGATGAAACAGCAAAAATCAATTAAACATAGTCCTAAATTTCCCTAAAAACATAGTAGTAGTAAGATCTCTCAGTAGGTTAGGTGCTTTGATAATCGAATGACTATCATTTGCCGCAAATTGAAATACCCATATGCATTTCTACATCATACTCTCACTTGTGGAGAATGAAACAAATATGACTTATTCTGGTGACCGAATAGGGGCTTTGATTTAGGGTTGTTTTCTTCAATATATGACATGGCTTTTAGATCATAATTAAACACCATCTTCTACCGAAAATCTTTTACCATTGAAACTAAGTACTTTAGCGCTAACAACAGTGTAGGCAAGTACGTTCTGATTACCGAAATCGTTCATATTCGATATTTATTAAAATCATTTCGAAAAGTATTTCTGCTTATCAGAAACTCGGAGAGCTGATTCTGGTTACCAGTACCCAGTATACTGGTACAGATGCATGCCTAACTGTGGCCCTGTTCGGTTGTGACTTGAACAGCTTATTGTGTATAAAAAAACAAATTCCTAAATTGAAAAATCCCTAAATCAAAATCTCTATTTGGTCACCAGAATAGATCATATTTGTTTTATTCTCCACAAGTGTGGATATGATGTAGATATGTATCTCGGGATTTCAGTTTGTGGCACATGATAACCAACCTATCTCACTACAGTGACACGAAAGAAGGTGAATGAAATCATGATTTTTTTATGAGGCAACATCTTTCTTGAATCACACTTTCGCTAACGACGGATCTCTCCGTGTGTTATCGTTCGATATTTATGAATATTTGTTTTGCAGATCCTATGTATTGTATTAGTAAAAGCTCATATGACATGGATTCCTACTGGGACTTCAGAAAACTCTTGCACTTTTATACACTATGGAATATTAGAAAACTTTGTATCTCGGAAAGACTTTTCATAAAAACTTACTTAATGTTTTTATGGAAACGGTCACAGTCAGCACCCGGCTACATGCAAATTTTCAAGTCGAAATCCAACTATTCAATTAAATTACAGTTTGTCGAAAAAGAAGTGTATTCAACATTCAATACCACAGGGTAAGATTCATTCGTTGAACACAGTGCAGACTCTGCTAGCAGATGGGAAAGAAAAACGTCACCTCGATATTATTTTTGACGAACATGGAGAGTGTCGCCTATGCCCGTCGTCATGATGGCGTATTGTGTCATCTACACATTTCTAGCAGGGGTCGCAACGGTCCAAATTTTCATGGACCGACCCGACCCGTCAACTAGATGGGCCCGCCCGGACCGATACATTAATCACAACGGTCCGGTCCGGTCCGACCCGACCCGTTGATTTGTCTGGACCGACATAATCCGATGAACTATCTTTTAATCATATTTGAGATTAATAAGATTGAAACCTAATGCAGTATTTAGAAAAATTTGCCTACA